TGGGAAAAATAGAGCCCCCGTGTGGAAAAACAGAGCCCCCGTGGGAAAAACAGAGCCCCCGTGGGAAATACGTAGCCCCCGTGGGAAAAACGTAGCCCCCGTGGGAAAAACGGAGACCCCGTGGGAAATACGTAGCCCCCGTGGGAAAAACGGAGACCCCGTGGGAAATACGTAGCCCCCGTGGGAAAAACGGAGACCCCGTGGGAAATACGTAGCCCCCGTGGGAAAAACGGAGACCCCGTGGGAAATACGTAGCCCCCGTGGGAAAAACGAAGCCACCGTGGGAAAAAACAAAAGTCCGGAAAAGAAATATAACCCCATTTTTAACCCAAGCCACCATGAGCTACGGAGCCAGCCGTGGGAATAAGGTCGACACCTTGGACAATAACCCTGTGAGTTAACAGTCCACCAATTGTCTCCCCAGGAAGAGTCGCGAAAACAGCAAAGTGTTCGGAACGTCGTTCAAGATAGTTCCAGTTCAACGTACGACGCTGGTGTGAGATAAGAGCCACGAGGGAAGGCCCCTCAGACGACGCTATTTACAAATATTTTATTATTTCCGATTGTTTGATTGTTAATCATCGCGGTATTCACAGGTTCAATATTAATATGTATGTGTTGCTTCCATTCTCATCTGGGGGCTGTTAAGGAGATTCGAACGCTGGAACACACGTTTGTAAAGCCAAAGCTCTATCGACTGGGCTATTGAAGGGAAGGGAACTATCAGGTGAGAGCGCCAAGCCATTACGACTATATAGCACTTGGAAGGGGGTCAGGATATAAGGATTTGAGATGGGACGGGGCAGGGAAAGGAATGGTGCCCAACCACTTGTGGACGGTCGGGGATTGAACGCCGACCTGCATCATCTTCCTAATTAAGGAAAAATATGGACAGTTTCCATGTTGTTATCAACATTATTAACAATAATGTTAATGTTAGCATTAATTGTAATGTTTCGACTGATGGAAGCTCGTGTTAATTCGTAATTAAATAATTAGTCAATTTATTATTTAACATTACTACCAGTCTAATTTGTTATATTATTCCCGCTCCGATATTCACCACCGCCAATCTCTCACATTTCGCGAAACGCACAGATTGCGCGCGAAATACGCGAGTTGACGGCGGCATTAGGTTTATGGAAATTTTTATAGCTAGTTTAATTTTCGGATTGCGAATAATTCTCTTTTTAATTCAGCTACACACACACACACGGCTTGGAACGGAAGGTGAGAAGAGAGAGAGAAAGGAGAGAGAGGGAGAGAAAGAGAGAGAGAGAGAGAGAGAGAGAGAGAGAAAGGAGAGAGAGGGAGAGAAAGAGAGAGAGAGAGAGAGAGAGAGAGAGAGAGAGAGAGAGAGAGAGAGAGAGAGAGAGAGAGAGAGAGAGAGAGAGAAGGGAGAAAGAGAGGAAGCACACAGGAAATAATTAGACAAAGAGATGCGAAGGGATAAATAAGGAATGAGAGTGATAATAATGCTGATGAATGACATGAACAATAGGAAAGGGAAAAGGAAGAAACGCGAATAACAAAAAGGGAGGGAAGGAAGAATCTATGGAAAAGAAGAGAGAAATACGTATGTTTCAGTTTTTCAAAATTTCTCAGCAGTGACAAAAGATGGGATATATTGCCTCAGCAGTGACAAAAGATGAAATATATTGCCTCAGCAGTGACAAAAGATGGGATATATTGCCTCAGCAGTGACAAAAGATGGATATATTGCCTCAGCAGTGACAAAAGATGGGATATATTGCCTCAGCAGTGACAAAAGATGGGATATATTGCCTCAGCAGTGACAAAAGATGGGATATATTGCCTCAGCAGTGACAAAAGATGGAATATATTGCCTCAGCAGTGACAAAAGATGGGATATATTGCCTCAGCAGTGACAAAAGATGGGATATATTGCCTCAGCAGTGACAAAAGATGGAATATATTGCCTCAGCAGTGACAAAAGATGGAATATATTGCCTCAGCAGTGACAAAAGATGGAATATATTGCCTCAGCAGTGACAAAAGATGGGATATATTGCCTCAGCAGTGACAAAAGATGGAATATATTGCCTCAGCAGTGACAAAAGATGGGATATATTGCCTCAGCAGTGACAAAAGATGGAATATATTGCCTCAGCAGTGACAAAAGATGGAATATATTGACTCAGCAGTGACAAAAGATAAAATATATTGACTCAGCAGTGACAAAAGATGGACAAACGAATAACTTGCAGTATTAAAAAAGAAAATTGCATATATATATATATATATATATATATATATATATATATATATATATATATATATATATATATATATATATATATATATATATATGACCCCTTAGCCCCCCTCCTTTTCTGCCTAGCTATCAAAGAGGTCACTGATAGTCTGACAAGCGAGCTAAACATCTGGTACCTGGATGATGGCACTCTAGCTGGAACCCCGGAAACCATTTTGGAGGGTATAAGGAAAATCCAGGAGCAGGGAGCAGCCTTAGGCCTCATTCTCAATGCATCCAAATGTGAAATAATCTCCCGCAACCCAGACATCACTGGGCAAATACAAAATGTTCTTCCAGACATTCTCGTTGTCGAGCCACCGGACTGCACTCTCCTGGGTGCCCCCATTGGCCCACGAGCAATCGAGGAGGTCCTGGCTGCAAAAATCACTGACCTAAAGAGAATGCTGGACAGGATTGACAAGATTGATGCCCATGATGCTCTCTTTCTCCTCACAAGATGCCTGTCTCTCCCTAAGTTGACCTACTTTCTGAGATGTTCTCCACCCTACAGCAACCCTAAGTTAAATGTGTATGACACCCTTCTGAGGTCCATGCTGGTGAAAGTCCTGAACCTGCCATTGGACGACTCTCAGTGGGAGCAAGCAACCCTTCCTGTAAGACTCGGCGGCCTTGGTGTCCGCACAGCCTCCCAAATTGCTCTACCAGCCTTCCTTTCCTCCTCCCATGCATCGCACGACCTCGTCAGAGATATTTTATCTGCAACCCTGAGAGATTCAGCAGGAATACACGATCCTGCTTTCACTGAATGTTCAAATCAGTGGGATGTTCTTGCAGCCCCAGCAACCATTATAGAGCCAACAAAACAACACAAACAGTCCGGCTGGGACCACCCTCTAGTGGAAAAAGTAGCTGATGCCATGCTAAGCGCCGCAACATCAGACAAGGAGAAAGCCCGCCTCAGAGCAGTGCGTGCCCCCCCATGCAGGAGACTTCCTCCTGGCAGTACCCATGTCAGCAATGGGCACGCGTCTAGATCCAGAATCCCTTCGTGTAGCAGTGGCCCTCCGCCTTGGTGCCCCAATTCACACTGAATACAAGTGTATTTGCAACAGGGTGGAAGCAGACCAATACGGACTGCATGGGTTGCATTGCGGAAGCACAAAGGGCTGGCATGCAAGACACAACGAGGTCAATGACATCATCAAGAGAAGCCTCGTCTCAGCTAAGTGTCCAGCGGAGAGAGAACCTCGCATCCTAGGGGTCCTAAACCCGGATTTCCCCGCACTTCGCCCTGATGGCATCACCATATACTCACGGAAGGAGGGTAGACTGTTGGTGTGGGACTACACATGTGTATCCACCCTGGCTGACACCTATGTACACTTCGGTGCTGATCAAGCAGGTGGGGCGGCCAACCACAGGGAAACAGCTAAATCACTCAAGTACAGGCGACTGGAAGGTCAATACCTCTTTGTTCCCATAGCGTCTGAGACGCATGGCCCCTGGGGCAAGAGTGCCTTGGGATTTCTCAAGGAATTGGGTTCCAAGCGCATTGATGTCACCAGAGACCCAAGGGCTTCCAATTTTTTGTTTCAGCGTCTCAGTGTGGCGATCCAGAGGGGAAATGCTTGCTGCGTCCTCGGTTCCTGTCCAGAAGCGGAGGAGCTTCAAGAGATCCATAACCTTTAGGCATTTGTCTTGTATGTTTTGTAACCTTTAAATACACAATAAAGCAAAAAAAAAAAAAGGGGAAGGGGGTGGTAGGAGAAAAGCACACAGAATGTAGGTCCCCTGTATTGGAGGGGACCTACATTCCCTCCAATGCGTTATGTGTGGTTTCCTCCGAGGCTATGGGTCCCCCTTCTTCCAGAGGTGGTACTCCCTTCCCTTTTATATATGTTTAAATATATATATATATATATATATATATATATATATATATATATATATATATATATATATATATATATATATATATATATATATTAGTTAAAATTTAGTTGCCTTGACGACCGACTTAACTGCCCAAAAGCTGGCTAACTGGACCGTAAACAAGGTAGTTAGGGACATGATAGTTGACCAGTCATCTTCCTAAACTGAAAGTACTTCTTAACAGTAGCTACGGTGAAAAAAGTACAAATATGTCGCGATGGACCACCAGGAAGTACACTTTTGTACTACTGAATTTGCACACAGTGGGAAATGATTACATACATACACACATACACACACACACACACACACACACACACACACACACACACACACACACACACACACACACCCACAAAAAATTATCTTCCATCACGTAAAATTGTTTTTATTTTCGACAGGAGGGTGTGCAATACAGACACAAATGTGCAACCACTCATCCTCCTCCACCTCTGCCAACTATGTAACTTGCAAATGAGCACAGCAACCCTCCCCCCCCCCCCCGCCCCCTCTCCTACCTTCTCAACTTTGACAATAAAAAAAAAGAGTTGAGGGGTGCAGGGGAATTAAGGCTTTGAGAGCCAGAGGTGGCAGGGAAGAATTAGTGAAAGAGGAGGGGAAAATATAATGAAGGTGGGGGAAAAACACATATGGGATTTGCATGTGTAATGAGGAACAGCAGCAGATGTGGGATGAGGAGCAGCAGCAGATGTGGGATGAGGAACAGCAGCAGATGTGGGATGAGGAGCAGCAGCAGATGTGGGATGAGGAACAGCAGCAGATGTGGGATGAGGAACAGCAGCAGATGTGGGATGAGGAGCAGTAGCAGATGTGGGATGAGGAGCAGCAGCAGATGTGGGATGAGGAACAGCAGCAGATGTGGGATGAGGAACAGCAGATGTGGGATGAGGTGCAGCAGCAGATGTGGGATGAGGAACAGCAGCAGATGTGGGATGAGGTGCAGCCGCAGATGTGGGATGAGGAACAGCAGCAGATGTGGGATGAGGAACAGCAGCAGATGTGGGATGAGGAACAGCAGCAGATGTGGGATGAGGAGCAGCAGCAGATGTGGGATGAGGAACAGCAGCAGATGTGGGATGAGGAGCAGCAGCAGATGTGGGATGAGGAGCAGTAGCAGATGTGGGATGAGGAGCAGCAGCAGATGTGGGATGAGGAACAGCAGCAGATGTGGGATGAGGAACAGCAGATGTGGGATGAGGTGCAGCAGCAGATGTGGGATGAGGAGCAGCAGCAGATGTGGGATGAGGAGGAACAGCAGATGTGGGATGAGGAGGAACAGCAGCAGATGTGGGATGAGAAGGAACAGCAGATGTGGGATGAGGAACAGCAGCAGATGTGGGATGAGGAGCAGCAGCAGATGTGGGATCAGGAACAGCAGCAGATGTGGGATGAGGAGCAGCAGCAGATGTGGGATGAGGAGCAGCAGCAGATGTGGGATGAGGAGCAGCAGCAGATGTGGGATGAGGAGCAGCAGCAGATGTGGGATGAGAAACAGCAGATACCTCAGCAAGTATGAGGAACTGCTATGTATAGCAGGTATGAAATCGCGTGAGTATGAGGAACTGAATGAAACCACATGAGTATGAGGAACTGGTGATATGAGTATAAGGAACACGATCGAGAAATGATGCAACGGTTTCGTCAAGTGGTCGATGAATCTTGGCATCTATGTAGGTGGGAAGTTTGTCTTGGAGTGCCTCCAACCCTCTCCTGAGGGACTCTGGCATATCTTATATTATCTGTACAAGATGTCTGCCTCCTCACCCCTCCCCCCCCCCCTCACCCCTACTACCCCCCCTTTCCTACCCTACCCCCCCCCCCTTTAAACCCTCCCCTAACCTTACCTTCACCTCAAGGATTGTGAATACACAACTCCTTGTATTAATACACATTCCATTACTCATGTCACTCACAGGTTATGTATTCGTGTCATTCGTGACAATTCGTGAGTGTCAGAATTCGTGAGTGTGTCACAATTCGTGAGTGTGTCACAATTCGTGAGTGTCACAATTCGTGTATGAGCAAATCAAGTGATGGAGTGACTTTTAAGTGTCTCGAACCTGCGGCCAAGAGAATGCCCCCCATGACCTCTGACCCCCCTGGGTCACCCCTGACCTGGTAGAGGTCAGACAACCAGTCACGTGGTGTTGTTGTTGTTGTGGTGGTGTGAGCACGTGGTGCTGTTGTTGTTGTGGTGGTGGTGTGAGCACGTGGTGTTGTTGTTGTTGTGGTGGTGGTGTGAGCACGTGGTGGTGTTGTTGTTGTGGTGGTGTGAGCACGTGGTGGTGTTGTTGTTGTGGTGGTGGTGTGAGCACGTGGTGCTGTTGTTGTTGTGGTGGTGGTGTGAGCACGTGGTGTTGTTGTTGTTGTGGTGGTGGTGTGAGCACGTGTTGTTGTTGTTGTTGTGGTGGTGTGAGCACGTGGTGGTGTTGTTGAGGTGGTGGTGTGAGCACGTGGTGTTGTTGTTGTGGTGGTGTGAGCACGTGGTGGTGTTGTTGTTGTGGTGGTGTGAGCACGTGGTGGTGTTGTTGTTGTTGTGGTGGTGTGAGCAAGTGGTGTTGTTGTTGTTGTGGTGGTGGTGTGAGCACGTGGTGGTGTTGTTGTTGTGGTGGTGGTGTGAGCACGTGGTGGTGTTGTTGAGGTGGTGGTGTGAGCACGTGGTGTTGTTGTTGTGGTGGTGTGAGCACGTGGTGGTGTTGTTGTTGTTGTGGTGGTGTGAGCACGTGGTGGTGGTGTTGTTGTTGTGGTGGTGTGAGCACGTGGTGGTGTTGTTGTTGTGGTGGTGATGTGAGCACGTGATGGTGGTGTTGTTGTTGTGGTGGTGTGAGCACGTGGTGGTGTTGTTGTTGTGGTGGTGGTGTGAGCACGTGGTGGTGTTGTTGTTGTGGTGGTGATGTGAGCACGTGGTGGTGGTGTTGTTGTTGTGGTGGTGTGAGCACGTGGTGGTGTTGTTGTGGTGGTGTGAGCACGTGGTGTTGTTGTTGTGGTGGTGTGAGCACGTGGTGTTGTTGTTGTGGTGGTGTGAGCACGTGGTGGTGTTGTTGTGGTGGTGTGAGCACGTGGTGGTGTTGTTGTTGTGGTGGTGTGAGCACGTGGTGGTGTTGTTGTTGTGGTGGTGGTGTGAGCACGTGGTGTTGTTGTTGTGGTGGTGTGAGCACGTGGTGGTGTTGTTGTTGTGGTGGTGTGAGCACGTGGTGTTGTTGTTGTGGTGGTGGTGTGAGCACGTGGTGGTGTTGTTGTTGTTGTGGTGGTGTGAGCACGTGGTGGTGTTGTTGTTGTGGTGGTGGTGTGAGCACGTGGTGTTGTTGTGGTGGTGTGAGCACGTGGTGGTGTTGTTGTTGTGGTGTGAGCACGTGGTGGTGGTGTTGTTGTTGTTGTGGTGGTGTGAGCACGTGGTGGTGTTGTTGTGGTGGTGGTGTGAGCACGTGGTGGTGTTGTTGTTGTTGTGGTGTGAGCACGTGGTGTTGTTGTTGTGGTGGTGTGAGCACGTGGTGGTGTTGTTGTGGTGTGAGCACGTGGTGGTGTTGTTGTGGTGTGAGCACGTGGTGGTGTGAGCACGTGGTGGTGTTGTTGTGGTGGTGGTGTGAGCACGTGGTGTTGTTGTGGTGGTGTGAGCACGTGATGTTGTTGTGGTGGTGTGAGCACGTGTTGTTGTTGTGGTGGTGTGAGCACGTGGTGTTGTTGTGGTGGTGTGAGCACGTGGTGTTGTTGTGGTGGTGTGAGCACGTGGTGTTGTTGTTGTGGTGTGAGCACGTGGTGTTGTTGCTGTGGTGTTAGCACGTGGTGGTGTTGTGCTGGTGTGAGCACGTGGTGTTGTTGTTGTGGTGTGAGCACGTGGTGGTGTTGTTGTGGTGTGAGCACGGGGTGTTGTTGTTGTTGTGTGAGCACGCAGTGTTGTTGTTGTGGTGTGAACTCGTGGTGTTGTTGTGGTGGTGTGAGCACGTGGTGGTGTTGTTGTTGTGGTGTGAGCACGTGGTGTTGTTGTTGTTGTTGTGGTGTGAGCACGTGGTGGTGTTGTGGTGGTGGTGGAGTGAGCACGTGGTGGTGTTGTTGTTGTGGTGGTGTGAGCACGTGGTGGTGTTGTTGTTGTGGTGGTGGTGTTTTGGTGGTGGTGTGAGCACGTGGTGGTGTTGTTGTTCTGGTGTGAGCACGTGGTGGTGTTGTGGTGGTGGTGTTGTGGTGGTGGTGTTGTGGTGGTGGTGTGAGCACGTGGTGGTGTTGTGGATGGTGGTGTGAGCACGTGGTGGTGTTGTTGTTGTTGTGGTGGTGTGAGCACGTGGTGGTGGTGTTGTTGTTGTGGTGGTATGAGCACGTGGTGGTGATGTTGTTGTGGTGGTGTGAGCACGTGGTGGTGTTGTTGTTGTGGTGGTGTGAGCACGTGGTGGTGGTGTTGTTGTGGTGGTGTTGTGGTGGTGGTGTGAGCACGTGGTGGTGGTGTTGTTGTGGTGGTGTGAGCACGTGGTGGTGTTGTTGTGGTGGTGGTGTGAGCATGTGGTGGTGTTGTTGTTGTGGTGGTGTGGGCACGTGGTGTTGTTGTTGTGGTGGTGGCGTGAGCACGTAGTGTTGTTGTTGTGGTGGTGTGAGCACGTGGTGGTGTTGTGGTGGTGGTGTTGTTGTGGTGGTGTGAACACGTGGTGGTGGTGTTGTTAATGTGGTGGTGTGAGCACGTGGTGGTGGTGTTGTTGTTGTGGTGGTGTGAGCACGTGGTGTTGTTGTTGTTGTGGTGGTGGTGTGAGCACGTGGTGTTGTTGTTGTTGTGGTGGTGGTGTGAGCACGTGTTGTTGTTGTTGTTGTGGTGGTGTGAGCACGTGGTGGTGTTGTTGAGGTGGTGGTGTGAGCACGTGGTGTTGTTGTTGTGGTGGTGTGAGCACGTGGTGGTGTTGTTGTTGTGGTGGTGTGAGCACGTGGTGGTGTTGTTGTTGTTGTGGTGGTGTGAGCAAGTGGTGTTGTTGTTGTTGTGGTGGTGGTGTGAGCACGTGGTGGTGTTGTTGTTGTGGTGGTGGTGTGAGCACGTGGTGGTGTTGTTGAGGTGGTGGTGTGAGCACGTGGTGTTGTTGTTGTGGTGGTGTGAGCACGTGGTGGTGTTGTTGTTGTTGTGGTGGTGTGAGCACGTGGTGGTGGTGTTGTTGTTGTTGTGGTGGTGTGAGCACGTGGTGGTGTTGTTGTTGTGGTGGTGATGTGAGCACGTGGTGGTGGTGTTGTTGTTGTGGTGGTGTGAGCACGTGGTGGTGTTGTTGTTGTGGTGGTGGTGTGAGCACGTGGTGGTGTTGTTGTTGTGGTGGTGATGTGAGCACGTGGTGGTGGTGTTGTTGTTGTGGTGGTGTGAGCACGTGGTGGTGTTGTTGTGGTGGTGTGAGCACGTGGTGTTGTTGTTGTGGTGGTGTGAGCACGTGGTGTTGTTGTTGTGGTGGTGTGAGCACGTGGTGGTGTTGTTGTGGTGGTGTGAGCACGTGGTGGTGTTGTTGTTGTGGTGGTGGTGTGAGCACGTGGTGTTGTTGTTGTGGTGGTGTGAGCACGTGGTGGTGTTGTTGTTGTGGTGGTGTGAGCACGTGGTGTTGTTGTTGTGGTGGTAGTGTGAGCACGTGGTGGTGTTGTTGTTGTTGTGGTGGTGTGAGCACGTGGTGGTGTTGTTGTTGTGGTGGTGGTGTGAGCACGTGGTGTTGTTGTGGTGGTGTGAGCACGTGGTGGTGTTGTTGTTGTGGTGTGAGCACGTGGTGGTGGTGTTGTTGTTGTTGTGGTGGTGTGAGCACGTGGTGGTGTTGTTGTGGTGGTGGTGTGAGCACGTGGTGGTGTTGTTGTTGTTGTGGTGTGAGCACGTGGTGTTGTTGTTGTGGTGGTGTGAGCACGTGGTGGTGTTGTTGTGGTGTGAGCACGTGGTGGTGTTGTTGTGGTGTGAGCACGTGGTGGTGTGAGCACGTGGTGGTGTTGTTGTGGTGGTGGTGTGAGCACGTGGTGTTGTTGTGGTGGTGTGAGCACGCGATGTTGTTGTGGTGGTGTGAGCACGTGGTGTTGTTGTGGTGGTGTGAGCACGTGGTGTTGTTGTGATGGTGTGAGCACGTGGTGTTGTTGTGGTGGTGTGAGCACGTGGTGGTGTGAGCACGTGGTGTTGTTGTT